CAAATAAATAAAATCTTTAAAAAAATAAAAAAATAATAAAAATAAGATTTATAGAGCAGGATTATTAAAAATTGGCTAAAATGAGTATAACTTATTTTTATTGATTTGTTGGTAACTCTTAGTATGTCAAAAGCTAATAAACATGAACATTTTACACTGATTCCATTGATCAGTTGTATGGAGGAAGGGTGGAGTAGAGGTGATAGGGTCTGGAGGCCGTTTGTAGATAAAATCACTGAAGGAAATATTTTAATTTTCTTCTGTCTCTGAAATCCATGCCCATTGCAAACTATTGAACCTGTCCCCAGGACCAGAATGGCATGTGTATTTTCTTTTTTTTTTAAGATTTATTTATTTATTTGACAGAGAAAGACACAGTGAGAGAGAGGGAACATAAGCAGGGGGAGTGGGAGAGGGAGAAGCAGGCTTCCCGCCCATCAGGGAGCCCCATGTGGGGCTCCATCCCAGGACCCTGAGATCATGACCTGAGCCAAAGGCAGACCTTTAATGACTGAGCCACCCAGGCGCCCTGGCATGTGTCTTTTGAAAAGGCTTCTCAAATGATCTGAGGACTACTGCTTTGAATACTTCTAGATCTTTAATGTTTAGATTGAAATCAATTAGACATTTATTTTTAGTTTTAGAAATTTAATGTTAGAATTTAGGATATAGGTTAATGTTTATTTACATTTATATTTGTGCTTGAATTTGTCCATGCTTCAGAGTTATATAATCAAGGCAATTTTCAAGATGTCAAGCAGGTTCTAAGTAGGACCTGTATTATTAGAGCCAGATAACAATAGAGAATGAGGAAAAAGTATCAGTTTTGTGAGTCCATAGATTTGGGATTTTATTATTAGTCCTACCACTAATTAACCAAATGACTGTAAACCCTTCAACATCCTTTTCTGTGAAAAGATATTTAATTGGCCTGATTAGTTGACTAGAATTCTAGCCAGAAAATAAATGTGCCAAAAATTAAAAGGCAGAATTTATCGAAATACTGACTTGATTTCTGATATTGAACAAATATAGTTAACTGTGTTAGCAGGAATATTTTAACAACTTTTGATTACTACTGACAGATCAAATAGATAAAACTTAAATTCAGAATAATGGGAAGAAAAAAGAATTTCATTTAAATAAGTCAGAGAAAGACAAATGCCATATGATTTCACTCATATGTGGAATTTAAGAAACAAATGAGCGTGGGGGGGAAAGATGAGAGAGGCAAACCAAGAAACAGACTCTTAATTATTGAGGTCAAACTGATGGTCACCAGAGGGGAGGGGGTGGGGGGAGGGGTGAAGTAAGCGATGGGGATTAAGGAGGGCATTTGTGATGAGCACTGGGTGTTGTATGTAAGTGATGAATCCCTAAATCCTACTCATGAAACTAATATTACACTGTATGTTAACTAACTAGAATTTAAATAAAACCTTAAAAGAAGAAAAAAATAATAATAAATTTAAATTCTGATGCAAAAGGAACCAGAATATTAAGGTAAAATACTTTGCATAAGAAACCAGGATGAATTATATGAAAGGATGTTTTAGTAACTGTTGATAACACATGTTTTTATCATCAGTAACCAAAATTGGAGATTCTTATTTAAGTTGTTAAAAACACTTCTGATAAATATTTCACCCAGAATATATGAATTGTAGTAGTTAGCTAATTGGATTTAGTCAAATTGATTTTCATTGAATTGATCTTCCCTTAACGGATGTCTCTGGGTATTATTGCCTCAGAACTCTGAGAAAAATTGAAAAATATTGAACATTACAGATTTTCAAAGTTTTCTTCTAGGACCTAAATTGCAAGTTTTTTGCGATAATTGGAGATGGTGTTGTCATGAAGCTTTACTATAAACTTACTTAATTTTTTATGTTTTTGTTTTTTGGGTTTTGTTTGTTTGTTTTTATTTATTTATTTATTTATTTGTTACAGAATGTTTATTTGCTAAGTAGCCAAGTAAATATATGTCTTAAGCATATGTATCTTTTTTTTGTTTGTTTTTCATTTCAAGGAAACAGACCATATACTTTTAACTAAATAAAATAGTTTAGGGAGATGCTTCGTTTACAAAATTCAGGCTCTAAGTTGAAAAGTTATTGATACATATCTCTTTAATAGAAGTTTGTTCTTGATATTTATAGGAAAACTACTTTGGGGAAGATGACATGTATATGGATTTTGAAGAGGTTATTTCAAGTCCTGTTCTGTCACTGTCAACATCATCCAGCTCTGGGTGGACTGCTGTTGGAATGGAAAATGACAAAAAGGAAAATGAAAGTTCAGCCAAGTCAATTCATCCGCTTACCTTACGTCCTTGGGATATTACTGTACTTGTTAATTTGTACAAAGTTCATGGGCGCCTTCCTGTTGTAAGTGTTTACGTATCTGGAGTATAGTCTGGAGTATATTATGAAATTCACCCAACTTAGAAAACTGTAGGTGTTTGTACACACATGCACACACTAATAAAAAAATCAGATTTGAAAACTTTAAAATTTATCCTTTTACCTTTATAAAGTTAGCTTATTATTTTCTTCTTAATGTGATTACTTGATCATTGATAATTTTCTGCTTTTCTTCTTTCGTTTGAGTTCCTTCTTGCTGTTCTGTGTAACTTTAGAACATTTTGTCATGACGTTGAGTTGCTGGGTTTATAGTTAGCCTGATGGATATTCTAGGATTTACATTTTCTTATCCTTTATCCATCTAGACCATTTGGGGCCCTTATGGTGCACCTACTACAAAATCAAGATTCAGCTTGATCCTGAAGGTTGAATTGTTTTCAGGGGTTCAGATCCAGCATAGAATCCTGGTTCAGTCTAAGGTTGACCAGTGGACCATTTGGGCCGACTTGGAATGACATTATATTGCCCAGAGAACCCAGGGTCGTTGGAGTGAGGCCAGATAGGGAGGGTGAGGCCCTAGAGCATTGTGCTGCTTACTGGCTCCATATCATGCACCTAGGATTGCAGAGCAGAGGAGTCATCTCTGATGCTTAGTGAAACTAATGTTCTTACTGGGGTCCAGAATAGTTAATTTTGTCAGTAAGCACTATTTCTTCTTTTTAAGAATCAAAATCTCTTAATTATATAAATGTAATTTTGGGGGCACCTGGGTGGCTCAGTCATTGAGCCTCTGCCTTCGGCTCAGGTCATGGTCCCGGGGTCCTGGGATCGGGCCCCGCTTCAGGCTCCCTGCTCAGCAGGAAGCCTGCTTCTACCTCTCCCACTCCCCCTGCATGTGTTCTCTCTCTCACTGTCTCTTTCTCTGTCAAATAAATAAATAAAATCTTTAAACAATAATAAATGTAATTTTTATTTTCCTGTACCTCCTTGGTCTTATTTTTCTCTGTATCTTGATTATGGTATTTTGTTTGACTTTAGCATGGAACCACTGATGGCCCTGAGTGCCCTACAGCATTCTTGGAAAGACTGTGTTTTGAAATGAAAAAAGGATTTCGGGAGACCATGCTGCAACTTGTCCTGTCACCCCTAAATGTGTTTGTCAGTGATAACTATCAGGTAATGTGAAAGTGAGTTATGGTAGAGACTTAGAGATGTATTATTATTGTTTATGGTGTTGAAACAGTGTGTTAGCTTCTGTGCATAGAATATATAGCTCTTTAAATTAGAGGCTTTTTATTTAACCATATTAAGAAGTTTTGTATATATATGTTTTTCAAGAATCTCAGTTTTCTTTTTTTTTTCTGCTGTTCCCTGTTTATGTGATCCCATATAATTATATTTTGTATCTATTGTTTTTAGAAATGGAAAGAAATACTTTAAAACTTTTTCATATATTTATGGAAGGGAAAATGTATAAAATTTTGGTGGATTCTGTTGAAAAGTACAACCTCAATATTCACATTAACCAGTGCACTAAATCTTCAAAACATCCATATCACATGGATTATGCTTTTCACCAAACGTACTTACAAGACACTTTATTAATCCCATCAAGATATCCCCAGGGCTCTTTTGAAAGGGAACCAATGATATTCAGCAAATGGGAGTAATTTACATTCTTGGGTAGATAATCACTTTGTTATTATTATTTTTTAATGCCAAATGGCTTTACTTTTCATTTAACACTACTTTAGGGCTTTTCTCTACTTTTAGTCAAGTTGTGAGCTTTAGAAAAATAAATGGATTTTAATATAAAGCAAGGTAAAATTATAAATGGGTGGTGAATTTGATACCCCAAAATCACAACAGATGGTGACCTACTATGGATTCTATATAGTAACTGACCATTTTATATAAAATAGCTTACCCCCTTTGCAACTCTTTTGCCATAACTGACCATATTTTTCTACATAGAATTTAAGTTTTTCATATGTGTATATATTCAACACAGCTGACCTCTTAGTAGCTGAAACTTAATACCTAATATATGCTTATTTTTGCCACTGAATGTGTTTCCTTTATCAGACTTTTGAAATAGTTGGCATACCTCATTTTATTGCATGTTGCTTTAGTGCACTTTGCAGATATTGCATTTGTTACAAATTGAAGATTTGTGGCAGCTCTGCATCAAGCAAGTTTATCAAAGCCATTTTTCCAGCAGCATTTGCGCACTTCATGTCTCTGTCACATTTGGTAATTCTCACAGTATTTTAAATTTTTTCATTATTCTATTTGTTATGGTGATTTGTGTTCACTGATCTTGATGTTACTATTGTAATTGTTTTGGGGTGCCACAAACTGTGCCCATATAAGATGGCAAACTTAAGTGATAACATTGCACGTGTTCTGACTGCTTCACCAACAGGCTGTTCCCCTGTCTCTCCCCCTCTTCTTGGGCCTCCCTATTCTCTAAAACAAAAAGGTATTGAAATTAGGCCAGCTAATGACCCTTCAGTGGCCTCTAAGTGTTTAAATGAAAGGCAGAATTGTACGTTTCTCACTTTAAATCAGGAGGTAGAAATGATTAAGCTTAGTGAGGAAGGCATGTCAAAACCCAAGCTAAGCTGAAAACTAGGCCTCTTGCACCAAATAGTTAGCCAAGTTGTGAATGCAAAGGAGAAGTTCTTCAAGGAAATCAGAAGTGCTACTCCAATAAACACACCAATAATAAGAAAGGAAAACAGCCTATGGCTAATACAGAAAAAGTTTCAGTGGTCTGGATAGAAGATCAAATCAGCCACAGCATTCCCTTAAGCCAAAATCTAATCCAAAGCAAGGCCCTCACTCTCTTCAATTCCGTGAAGGCTGAGAGAGGTGAGGAAGCTACAGAAGATAAGTTTGAAGCTAGCAGAAGTGGGTTCAGAGGTTAAAGAAAGAAGCCATCTCCGTAACACCAAAGTGCAAGGTGAAGCAGCAAGTTATCCAGGAGATCTAGCCAAGTTCATTAATGAAGGGTGGCTACACTAAACAACAGATTTTCAAAGTAGATGAAATAACCTTCTAGTTGAAGATGCCATCTAGGACTTCCATAGCTAGAGAGGAGAAGTCAGTGCCTGGTTTCAAAACTTCAAAGGACAGAATGACATTCTACTTATAGGCTAACACAGCTGGTGACTTTAAATTGAAGCCAATGCTTGAAAATTTTAGGGCCCTTAAGAATTATGCTAAATCTGCTCTGCCTGTGCTCTATCAGTGGAGCAAAAAAGCCTGGATGACAGTATATCTCTTTACAACAGTGTTTACTGAATATTTTAAGCTCACTTTTGAGACCTACTGCTCAGAAAAAGAGACTCCTTTCAAAATATGACTGCTAATTGACAATGCACCTGGTCACCCAATAGCGCTGATGGAGATGTACCCTGAGATTAATGTTGTTTTCATGCCTGATTAACACAAGATCCATTTTGGAGCCCATGGATCAAAGAGTCCTTTTGACTTTCAAGTCTTATTATTTAAGAAATACGTGTTGTAAGACTATAGCTGCCATAGATAGTGATTCCTCTGGTGAATCTGGGCAAATTTGAAACCTTTGGTACAGGTGAGCTCTCCAGGATTTAGCTGCTTATTCCTGATAGCATTTGTCTTAATGCAGGGCCTCAAGGTTAAGGATCTGAGGTGATGGATAGATTATTGTGTCCGACTTATGAACCATCCCCTTTTAATTTATGAGCATCTTATGATGTATGTTAGTTTCCTAGGGCTGTCATAGCAAAGTACCTCACACCGAGTTGCTTAAAATAAGAGAAATGTATTCTCTCACAGTTCTGGAGCCTAGAATTCTGAAATCAAAGTGTTGGCATGGGCATGTTCTCTCTCTCTGAAGGCTGTAGGAGAGGGTCTCCTTGCCTCTTCTAAGCTTTTGGTGGTTGCTAGCAATCCTTGGCATTGCTTGTCTTGTAGATGCATATCTCTGCCTTTGTCTTCTCATGGCATTGTCTCGATATGTCTCTGTGTCCCAGTTTTCCTCTTAAAAGGACACCAGTCATTAGATTAAGACCCACCCTAATTCAGTGTAACCTCATTTTAACTTGATTACATCTGCTAAAACCCTTTTTTTCAAATACAGTAAGGTCACAATCACAGGTGCCTGGGCTTAGGACTTGAATGTGTCTTTTTAGGGGACACAATTCAGCCCACAATATGATGCAACCCCACAATAAAATCTAGAATATGATCTTTGTTGGTGTACTAGATAGGCTCTATCTTTAGGACAAGCCAAGATCTATATGTATTTTTGAGCTCAAAAAATATCAATCAGAAGTATCTTATACTGAGAATTATCGAAACTTAGTGCCAGAAGTGATCTTTATTCACCATCCTCCCCAGCTTCTTCAGATAAAAAATAGAAGGAAACTAATGCCTGGAGAAATTTTGGTGATTTTATGTTGTCACACAGCTTAGATGAAAATAAAATAAAAAATGTATCAAAAGAGCTGCTAGAGCTATTATTATAGTCATAATTAGAAATTTCCTTTTAAGAATTCCTTATGAATTTGATTTAGCTCATATCCTTAATTTTTTTTAAGAATACATTTCCTAAAATGGTTGAAACAAAGAATGCCACACTGTTCCTTGTGCAGATGGCCTGCATACACATACTAAAAAGACTACTGTAATAAAATTAGTTTGGGAAATACCTGTGAACTGTCTCAATGTATATTAGTATATTGAATTCTCTGAAAAGACTTGCTGTGAAGAAATACACAGCATTATCTTCCTTTTGTGGTCACTGTTAGGTGCAGTGGGATAAATGGTGAACAAGACAGAAATAGTCTTTACCCTAATAAACCTGGTGGAGAAGAGAAATATTGAGGAAATAATAAATAATGGTCTTGAGACAATAACATGATAAAATTTGCCTTTTTAGATCTCTGTGGTTATTTTGTAGAGGATGGAGGTGGGAGATGTAAAAGTTAATGCTGGGAGGCTCTGCAAACATCTTAGCAAGAGGTCATATTATTGGGACCATGATGATAGTGGTGAAGATAGAAGAAAATCAATGCATTTCTGAGAGATTGGGAGGTAGATTCTACAGAAATTGGTGACTGATGGGTAGGGCATTGCCAAACCTATTTGATTCTGTATTACTAATAATATCCTGTGGAACTAGTTAGTGTTCCATGGAATACCCTATTTTAGGACATATCTTTTAGCTTTGTAAGTCCAGAACTTTTCTTTTTGAAATATTTGCTGCTTTTTAGTAGTAAGTATGTAATTTCTGTAAGATAAATCTATCCTTTTTATATTTATGTAGTCCTCAAAATCTATATGAAAGATGGCTTTCTTTCCTCGGTCTTCATTTTATGGTCTTAATGGTCTTTGTTCTCCCCTGTTATTTTTTTCTTTTCTTTTTAGTATTTAATCTCATTATTCCTGTCTTTCCACCCAAGATTGGTCTCTTACATTCCCTGTCAGTCAGAGGACTAATTTATTTTTATTCATTGAGCCATTCATTTCTGTCAGAGAGGTCTCATTCTTTCTAGGACTTTGCTATCTTGCTTTGCAGTTGAACTCTTGTGAATATTGTCACTAAAGAAGCTTAACTGAGACTCTACGGTACAAGGTTGTGTTAGGATCTTATGGATCCTTGAGTCTTACTTTCCAGATAGCATGTTTTTACTGTTAGTCTCTGGAGAAAAAAAACAACTAGAAATAATAATGCCGATTTTCTTGTACTTCTAACAGTCTTCTTATTGTTTTCAGCAGCGACCTCCTGTGGATGAAGTGCTCAGGGAGGGTCACATCAATTTGTCAGGTCTCCAGCTGAGAGCACATGCTATGTTCTCAGCAGAAGGTCTTCCTTTGGGAAGTGATTCCTTAGAATATGCATGGCTAATTGATGTGCAGGCTGGAAGTCTTACAGCTAAGGTCACAGCACCACAGGTAGGATTCTCTGACTTATTTTCTTTTTCCTTTGCTTACCCACTTTGCCAAGAGTAAGTTGTATGCCTGTTTGAATGTTCATTGCATTTTCACTAATGGTGTTCTGATGGCCAGACAACTCTGCTTTTTGGATGAGAGTCATTCTTGCCATTCAGAATTTTCTTAGCAATAGATGAATCAGAGACAAGTTTCACGTTTCTGAGCCACATAAAATTGAAGGGTGTAATGTTTTATAGTTCTGCATAGCACTTTCAAGACCAAGACTTTGGGAAAAACTCAGTATGAGAACTGGTCTGGAAATTTTATATATTATTAAAATTACATTAGTTGTTTCTCCACTGTTGAAAAATTCTTTTTTTCCCAGTATATGGAATAATTTTTTAAGAATTTTGCTTTCTTATATATTTCTTAAGTAGGATTTGAAAATACTGTTTATGGTGTTCAGGATTAGGTAGTTCGGTTCTTGTCATGTCTCAAAGCAAGATAACATCATTTGTATCTGCTGTTAATGATGTGGATTTAAAAAAATAAAAAGAAATTTGCTGGTAAGTAAACCTGGTCTAGAGTGCTAGTTGTGATCCTTCTGGATAAAATCCCCCTCTTGTCCCCTTTAATCTTTAGAAGACTCAGAAGTCGGGCGCCTGGGTGGCTCAGTTGGTTAAGCGACTGCCTTCGGCTCAGGTCATGATCCTGGAGTCCCTGGATCGAGTCCCACATCGGGCTCCCTG